CATGTCCGGATCATTGTACAACAAGGGTAAACCCGGGATCGCTATATGATAAGAACCAAAAAACAACACAAATAATGATTACGAACTTTAGCCACACAGGATTTAGTAATATATTTTGATATGAATAACCTTTTTCTTGTCAGGAGATAAATAAGAGACTTTATACATTGATGCTTCGAGCCAAGTGTGATGCAAGACGATTAGGGACAGCCACAATAGTAGGCTTTGGGGCTGATTTTACACTGTTTGGAGACTGTTTTAGGGTGCTGTGAACAGGCTGTAGGAATTGAAGAAAGAAAGAAAGAAAGGAGGAGAAGAAAATAGGTGTAGGAATCTGTTAGCACCATAAATCTGCAATTTTTATTATTATTTATTATTTATATAATTGCAGGATATGTGGCATCCTCCTACTCATTTGGAGGTTATGAGAAGTTATGAAGGCATGGAGGGTTAGGTGGCATTATGGGAATGAAGATGGAAGAGTGGATAGTTTTAGGTGGTTATTGGGTAGTTATTGCTGGAAGTTTTTTCCTACAAATATTTGTCTATAAATAGCCATTCATGGCTACATTGTAAAGGATCCAGAATTCATAATCAAAGACAATTGATTTCAATATTTCTTGTCATTTTTCTTATCTTAGGAGTAGTTTAACATAGATTTATATTTCGAAGCATTTATTTTCAGCATTTCCATTTCGAAGCATTTTATGCACTTCCTTTTCGAAGCATAGGAGTAGAGGTAAGTAATTATTACTTTGATTGTTCACTCAATCGTCTTTCTTTGTCTCCCTCATTCTTCTTTTAATTTTTTTTTTCTCTACACTTGGCAATTTTGAAGTCCTCTTTGTTGAGGCAAAAGATCCATCAAAGCAATTGCTTGATAATTGGCTTGAATTTAATCTGTAAGGATTTTTCAATCCTTGTTGGTATGCTCGTATTTATGATATTTTCCTTCGTAGGAAAAATAAGCTAACAGAATCACTCCTAGAATCCCTTAGCATCACATTTAGCTTTTGATTGCATCACACAACCTATAAAGAAGCTTCAAAGCTCTCAACTTTTTATAAAAATATCAACTCCCTCAATTATAAGCATTACAAGGCTTTATGTAGGATTAGGAGACTTCCTAAACCAACTAGAACAAAAAAATGAAACTATTATAAAATTTTAGATTTCCAAAACTAATTTAATACCAAATAAGAAATATAAATAAAACTCAATTAAATAACTTGACCCACAAGACGACTCATGGATGACCCATACGACCTATGCTAGCAAATATAAAATTACCAAAATACTCCTAACCTTAAAAATCCTAGAAAACATAATAATAATAATAAAATAAGACTTTAATAATACTAGAAACATAATTTTAGAAGATTTCTATCAGTTTCTCTATGAAATTATGCCAATGTCCAAATATTATCACTTCTTTGAATTTAGTCTTCCTTGAGCTTTGTATACTCTGCATCAAAGTGGATTACAATTTTTCTGCATAAGATCCTTGCACCAAGGAGGCTAACTTCCAATCCAAGTGCCAAGCAGCTTGTTCAAATTCATGCGCTGCAGTATTGCTATTTTTCTCATTAAATTATTATTATTTTCAATTGCTAACATTACACGAAAGCCATATAGAACTGTTACGAAATGGTAGATCTTACATCCTTTTAGTGTTCAATCTTCAAGTTCTACAAGATTTGAATTGCTATTAATACTAGATAAAATTAGTTCACTTGTTTATTTATTTATTTATTTTTATTTTTTCCCCAAGAAGTTTTTGTTATTTTTTTTACTGGACTCCTTGATTATTAGCATAAGATCTATTTGGTTTTAGGTTGTATTTATTGAACAAAGCTTGGATATCATGTTATGTACTTTTCATTAGTATGTTGGCATATTGCACCATAAATTTTGTTTATGACTCTAGACATATCAATATTAAACATGCTCCATGATTTTTTTTCTCTTTTTATTTTGGCAAAACAAGGATAAATTATCCATAAGTACAATTAATTTAACAAAGAAAATTAATACATCCAACAAAAGGAAAAATATTCAGAGACTTAAAATGAGTGTAAAAATTAGTATATATATTAGATGGTGCTAAAAAACCAAACTAAACCAACTAAAAACCCTTTTAAATCCTATTATTCAAGGTGATTCTGAAATGAAAACATATGTATCAATGAGTTTTTTTTTGAAATTGTGTAAAGAAGAAAAAGACTCACAATTTTGTTTGCTGTCACTGTTACACTATGACTGTTACACCCCGCAACCCACCATTACCATTGTGGTGGCACCGTTACTTATAACCGTGTATAGAACTAATATCCCAACACACTGGCAACTCAAGTTTTATTGAGAAAAAGCTTTACATGCAGCATATTATACATGACAAGTTCGTGGAGCTTCAATATCATAAGAGAACGTAGCCAGCAACGGACAGGGATTCAGACATCTTCAGACATCACAAAAACATATTTTAGCTAATCTTCTTTATACATCAAACAACACAGTAGGCTTCAACAGTGTTCTCTGCTTTGTAACCCACTTCTGTGTGATAGATTTTAAGTAATTCTACTCAATCAAATTGCTAATATTGTAACAGGTGTTCATCATCTACCAGCTTTTCTGCTGCTTGTATCATCTTGCTAACTAATGAAATCATTGCAATGGAGTATCTTGTTTCATTCCCGTTCATGATGCTTCTAGTTAAGCTAGTTTTTGCACTTTCTATATTACTAAATCAATTAGTTGATATAAATGGCTAGTCTAGTTGGCCAAAATTCCTGCAAGACTCTCCCTATCTTCAATAACAAGGACATTGCGTTTAAAAATAAAGCTACTATTTGGGATCATGTTCTGGAGCTTATCAAGGTAACAGTTGCAGTTTGAATTAAAGCACAAGTCAAGATGTGTTTGTACTTGGTTAATTATTTCATTTTCTGCCTTGATAGGGTGAAGATATAAATTCTGGTTAGTGACTCAAATTTAGATATCACGTCTAATTAGGGAGCCCCTCATCCATCAAGCTAATCTCTAGTGTTTTCACTATCCTATATATGTATATCACTTTGAGCCTGCTCATAATGACTCCTTGGTGAGGTTGGTGAGGAGCATGTGTATATTCTATTGTTGCTCCACGCTAATTAAGCAAGCATAATATGCACCATTATAATTTTGATAATTATATTATAATCAAACAGAAATTAGCGAACATGTTTTTGATGTGTGTATATATATATTTTTATTGCCCGCTCTTTTGGATGATGATGAGCAAACTAACCGAATATTTTTATATAGATAGACATCCCCAATCAGGTGTTGCCATCATAGGTTTTTTCTGTGCCTTTAAACTTTTAATTTTTTTTTTTAGACTTTTTAAACTTTTAGTTATAACTCCTTTATTAGTAGCACACTCTATATACTTTTTGGGGATTGAAAGAAATGCTAGAGTTTTTAAGCGAAAAACTTTGGGACCAGAGGAAATATTCAAAATTATGAATGGTTTTAGGACTAGAGTGAGTGCTTGGAGAAAAGTTGAGAATACTTTCAGTAATTGCCAACTTTGTTTGGATTGGAATCTCTACTAGAGTTCTTAAGAAATGTTTTTCTGCAGTTTGCTGTTATTGTTTCTTGTAATCCCTTGTGAGGTATGTTGGTAGTGTGCTTTTGTTGGCAGTGGGCTTTGGAAAGCCTGGTGGTAGTTGCCATGGAATGTTTTGGTTTACTCTTGCTTGATGGCATGGAGTATGGCACATTTTTTTATTGTAATTATTGGTTTGCTTGGTTTGAACAAAATTTTAATTTACCAACAAATAAAATAAAAATCTATATTCTATTTTTGAGGGGATTTTTGGTTGGCCAAATTGCATGAGCTACAGATTGTACTAGACAAGATATTTTGCATTATATAAGTTTCCAGAAGTTTTGATGAAACCAAACACTTTTGTGTGTGCCTGTGTGGTGACTTGATTTAATGTTGCCATATGGTTGAAAATGTTTCGAAGAGGCCTTATATGTATATTGTGGTATACACAAATGTTTTGAGAATGATCGATGTAATTTGTGATTTTCTTTAAGGAGATTGTCTCAAGTCCTGACAAAAATTGGATAGGAAGCATCCAATCTGCTGCTTTGAGTCCATTACAGGACTCATTTTGATAATTTGATTCTTTCTAATTTATTTTTATTTTTTAAATTCTTGCATAGCTCATCTATGTTAAAAACAGATTGATTTGATAATGATAGCAACATGACTTCATCATATTGTTTTGAAATGAATGGATGACAAGTATGATATTAAGAATACCGTCTCTTTATTTGAAAACAAATATGATCAAAATGTGGCTATCATTATCAGATTACCTTTTTTCTTGGATGATCTATGCATAAGAACTTAAATTTCAAACTGATAAGATCATTGAAATAGGCACTCTGATGGCCCCAATGGACTAGGCTGAATGAATCTAGTTCTCCTATGAATTGGAGAGAAACTGAATCCTTTCTTGAATGCAGCCTATTTAACCAAAGAAAGATAGACAAATTATCCATGCAAGAGCAATTTATAAATTAATTCTTAGATGGCCAACAATAAGACATGTTACAAGCAAAAGTTATGGATTTCATGCATGTCAACATAAAACATTCAAACAACAACCAATTCAAGCATAGTTTAACATAGAGACACCCAAACAGCTACATATCCTAGAGTTGGATAAATATTTCACAATTCCAAGCATATGGAAACATAAATGTCTCCAGAGTGCAAGGTCAATCAAATGCCACAATAGGCTATAAGAGGACATTTGAATTTGGTTCCCTCTTCGTTGCAATATTGAAGATACGAAAATTGATTAAACGGCTTAAACCTCAAGGGGTGTTCTTCATCAACGAGCTCCACTGGTGTTTCCACCATCTCACGCATGAACATAAACAGCCCGATAGTGTACTTGGCTTCATTCGCTGTCATGGTGACTCGATGAAAAGGAGCATGTATTCTGCCATTGCTCCATGCCTAAGCCAACCAAAATATGCATCACTTTGAACAATTATGTATTACAATTCAAACTACATAATAACGAACACAATGGACATGATCTGCAAATAACTATTTACTCAAAGATTTGGATTGGGAAACTACCAATGAGCAGGATGTTAAAAGTGCAGCCAAGCCATCACAATCATTTGCAAACTTTAGTCTTCTTGTCCCCAAAGTTCAGTCAAAAAATTTCATGTTCTTGGCATCAGGGATGGATCTAAAGACGGTGGGTGGGCCGACTGCCCAGTCCGAAGTTTCATAAACCCCCTTATTATAGTAGTATTATTTATTTTTAATTTACTCTGCAAAATTTTTAATTGTATGTATAGACATTCATTCTCTTGAGATTAAAATCCTACATCCATCTGTGCTTGGTTTTGGTATATATATCAACTTCTACTCAACATTCAAAAACAAAAACACGGAATAAACATAATTGCGAAGAAAAAAATTCATCAACCAATACTGCAAGCACATTTTTTTAAAAATATTTTTTGTTTTCTTTTTGGGTATATAGAAAGGGTAGTGATGGCCACACTGTTAGGGACAATTATGAACTGTTTATTTATTTATTATTCCACTTGTGGCTTTATGACGTTTTGTTCTCTAATTGCTAGTTGCTAGCATTGAGAGCTCTTTTGATTTGGGCTCATGAATCATGATGAAAAAATTTGCTGATTTAGATTTTGATGTTTGTTTTATTTTCTAGACTTACTACTGTTCGTGGTATACTCTGGTTGTTGGTTATTTGGGGATAGTGAAGGTAGGATTTACCTTTTGCTTTTGGGTGTTTGTTGGTTCCTTGCCCACTTTTATTTGAGGGCTTTGGATTTGCACATGATTGGCCTAGAGTATGTGCCAATCTAGTTCGATGTGCTCGTATTGATGAATTGATAGTTCGTTTTACTCATTTGGTTCACACTAAGGAGCACAAATACTTCTATGAAGGTAAAGTGTCATGTTTGACATCCGATCGGACAGGACATTAACACGATAAGACACTCGTTGGACAGTTTCTAACATCTAGACACCATGAAACACATTACAAGTTTGAATAAAATAACTTGGAATCTAATGATAATATAAAAGCAATGTAAAATTCATATATATTATCCTCCTTTAGACTTTAAAAATAATTATATTTGACTTAAATATTCTTATTTATGACATATAATAAATATATAAAATTATATATTTTTTATGCGTCTCTCACGTGCGTGTCTTACATTTTTTTCAAAAATTTTTTTGTGTTGGTGTGTCAATGTCGTGTAATGTGTCCGTGTTTGCACTACTTAGGGTTCACATCAATATATTCTTTTTGTTCAATTAAAAAATATAGTTGCAAATGAAGAAGAATAATGAAGTTAATTAATTGGTAATTTTAACTAAACTAATTTCTCCATCGTCATTTAACTTCCCTCTTTGAATCTCTTGTTTTTTTCTTATCCCTACTTTTTTTTCTCCACCCCAGATGTAGTACGATAGGAGCCTTGTGCACTGGACTCTTCATGTCAAAGAGACGTGTGTCTATTGTTTCAACAAAAATGGATGGTTTATGGGTAGCCTTGGGAGTAAAATTATATTCAAGTTTTTATTGCTTCCATTTAACCACTTTAGAACCTACAAGTACATGTATGCAAATCACTGACAATAGATTACCAGAAGATCAAATTGAAATCAAGTTGATTATCAGCTGATACATAATTTCTTTCTCTCATTAAAAACTCAAAAAAGTAGTTAACTAGTTTACTCTTGTCATCATTTCATTCAATTATTTTGAAGAAAATCCTTTGTCTACCCATAAACCATGTGAGTTTGGATCCAAAGAAAGCAAAGCTGTCATATGATTAGAAACATGGAAACACAAAAATGATTTTCGAAGTAATTAAATTCATTGTTTGCACTACCATATTTATAGTTCAACTCACCGTGAACGCATCACCTGCCATGACTACAAAAGTACAAGGTGAGGGCTCAAATTCAATCCACTCGCCATCCTTCGTTTCAATTTGCAAAGCTTTAACTTGATTTTGGTCAAGTATGCTCAGGAAGTCCTTGTCTGTATGTGGATGCAGGCCAATGTGACTCTCATTCATTTTGGATGCACGGTACTTTATGAATCTCAGAAGGTGTGTGGTAGATTCAATGTGGGAGTCATAGTACTTCTCTACGCCATAACATTCAAATACCATTCGCAGCACTGCATTGCCTATTTCTGATAGCAGCTTTGAGAACAAGGTTGTAGTTTTGCTGACAACAAAAGAACCAAAATGAAATAATAGAAATTAAAAATAAAAACATATTAATAATTCTTAAGCAGATCATACTATACCAAAAGTTGTTATTTTTAGAGGGCCACATGAGATTGGTGAAACTTTGAATTCCTTCTATGGTCGCCCCATTTTCAATGCCAATGGCTTCAAAGATTGGCATGGACTTGTAGTTCCCAGCATAGCCAAAGCCAAGTTTATCAGAGACATTTAGGACTTTGGTTTCCATTGGCAGATCAAACAACTCATCTGATGCTTGGAAAATGGCATCATGTAGTTCTGAAGAGACTTCATTGTACCTTGCTATGAAACAGCCATACTCTTCGAGTGCATGGCAGACGTCATTGGATGTCAATGACCAAGAATTTGTGCCAGGCTTCAAGTTTTCCATAGACAAGTCTATAACAGGGAGCTTGGCCTTTGTTTGAGAAGACATGATTCTATGAATGGAAGTTTTGCTAGAAAAGTTCCAAAGCTCTTGATGAATGGGTGCTTTATACTTCTTTATATATTTGTATCAGTAAATCCTTATGTACTACTAGATTGTTATTTGCCTAGTGCCAAACAAGTCCTTTTGCTAATCTACGTAATGTTATAGGTCTTCTTTAAAATACGCAGTTGTAGTTTTGCTGGGGCAATAACAATTTCTACCTTATGCATTTTGGTATCTTTACAAAAATACAATAAGCACATTGGCATCATTATACTGTAAATACAAAGAAAAGCATCAATATCTATACAAAAATACAGAAGGGGCCATGGCCCTGCAATAATTAGTGATTTTTTAAATTATGTTTTGCTTTTTATATAATATTTGCGCTACCAAAGACATGCTTGTCAATATCTGGTTTTGTTATTATAGTCATCTAAGCATTTTATTAAGTTGTCAAAGGTACATGAAAGTTCAGTTTAATCCCCACACATGACAATGAACTAATTAGATTGTAATATTTGTAGGTGTCATTCTATCAATATCCACAGAGACGGAAAGAATAAGGGGAGGGCAAATGAGGCCCATGGTCCCCTCCTATAATTGATGCTGACTGGAGGCACAACGGTGGCCAAAACCAAAAGGTCTCAACGAAGAGTAGGAAATAGTCCTGGGGTTGCCAAACGTCAATCTACATGGCTAATCGTGGATGTCACCTGACATGACCAAGCTGCGCACTAAGCACTTGACAAATCACTCATTCAAAGCAAGGGTTCTTATGGAGAAATATTTTAGAAGTGAAATCCTTCTATTCCATTTCTCATGGTAAGAAAATGTGGTCAGCATAGTATTATTGAAGATATTTATATGTAATACAAAAGTGGCCCTTTTTATGATTCCTGTTTAATGCTAGACAACTTCCAACACATCTTACAAATGACAAAATATGTCAAAATACAATTCCAAGATGCAATACAAGTTAATAAGTAGTCAAAATACCAAAAGACATATTCATAACTCAAATAAAAAATTAAAACATATTTCAAAGAAATTAAATTACAACTTAGACCAAGTCAGCAACTATGTTGTTGCATCATTCTACCTTGCTTGATAATGACTCATTTCACTCGGCTTCGAGTTTGAGGTTAGATCTTTCCAAGTAACTCATCACGTTTCATGAGTTCTTGAGTGGTAATGCATTCATCTTGAGAATTTGATTATTTGTTCCACTGAACCAAGAATTGAGTGTAGCTTTTATATTTGGTAGCAATGGTAATGGTGAAAGCATATCCAGGTCTAGCACATCAGTGACTTCCTGGGAGAAATTCTAAGTCACAACAGAAAAGTCATCTAGCTTCAACATTATGCTATCCTCATCACCACAATATAATCACTTTCATTTAAATCATAGTTGATTGATAAAAGAGGAAATTTGACTTTTGACAATGAAAGAAAAGAATTAGGGATGAAAAGTAATTACAGCGCAGAAAACAATGTTTTCTCTTCTTGCAAAAGTTTTCTTTAGCGAAAACAGAAACCATAATTCATCACTAATCTTTGTCACTAACCTTTGGTAGGAAATAATTTTTGGCGGGCATACTAGCGATCGAATACAGTTGTGAGGAAACATAAAAATCCTTGCTAAAATATCACAAAAGCACTTGGCAATTTTTTGACAGGGGAAAAATATTAGCCTGGAACCAAGAGATTTGTGATACAGAGCTGCTGTTTATAGAGTATTTGGAGGATTTTGATCGCTGGGTGGCAAAATGGTAATTTCGGAGACTTTCCAATCGGATCTGCTCCAAAAGAATCATGTTCAATTCGAAATGGCCCAATACTCACAGTTTTGCTGTGAATCTATGATTACAATGGATTTCGGTGAATTTTCATTGTTCAGCTTTCAATTTTGTGACTAGAATTGCTTTAGTAGACTTAGAATTTCTCAAGTATTGTAAATAAGGTTGCAAGTATTATAGCTCTTCAGTTTTGAGTTGCTTATCAATACAGTTCAGAGTAAAGTTCCTCCAAGTTATGATTGTTTGTGGTTGTTCTGGTTACCTGTTCATTCTATAAACGGGGGAGAGGGTCATGACTGCCAAGGAGTTCAGTGGCCTTGGTATCTGTTAATTGAAGGTAAAAGATTTCTGCTTTTCTTACCAAATGGTGGTGAGATTTATGACAGAAAAAACAAAAAATCATTATGGGGGAAGGTGTTGTGTGAAAAGTATGGATTTAATTCTGAATGTTGGTTGCCTTATTCGGGTATTAATAGAAGAGTCTCAAATGTATGCTTTGAGATTTGATCAATGGGAGATGATGCATCTGAAATCAGTGAGTTTTTGAAAATGGTTTGAGACTGGTGGTTGGATCAGAAAAGAAAATAAAGTTTTGGAATAATATTTGGTTTAGGGAAACTCCATTAAATTGTCTTTCCCTGGACTTTTTTTACTGTCAAAAGTATAAGAATGCTGTTTTGGAGGATATTTCAGTTTGTAATGATAATGCTTCGGTTGTGTCTTTGATTTGTGGTAATGAAAAGGAGAATGTGTCGCATGTCTTGCTGCTATGTAATTATTCCTAGAAGACATGGAGTCATTGCTTTAAGTAGTGAGGGTGGGGCTTACTATGGGTCTGTTCAGGTGACTTCAAAATTTTATTGATGTGGTGGTTTGGTATGAGTTATAAATAGGTTTAAAAGAGTTATTAAGGAAACATTGTTCTTTGCTGCAGTGCGGAGTTTATGGTTAGCTTGAATTGAGGCAATCTTCAACCAAAAAAGTGCTTGAATGTAGAGAAATTGCAGATCTGATACTAGTCCAGAAGGCATGTTGCTTGAAAACTATCAAAGGAATTAAGGAATACTTGGTGGTAGATTTGGACTTGATATTCAGCAACCATACCTAGCTATGAATTTTACATTCAGTAAACAAGCACACAATCATGCATAACAAGTCATGTCCCAACAAAAAGCCATAAAGATAAATGCATATAGAAATACAGCAGAATTATTTTAGACCATAGGAGGTGGTCTCAAACGCCGCAGTAAGCTTTAATTGAACACTTTGATCTCTTTCCTTCATCTGTGTAATAGAAATCGATAAATTTGTAGTGATCGAACGGCTTATATTGTAAAGGGTGTTTGTCATCGACTAGCTCTTTTGGTGTCTGTACGATGAGATCCCTGATGAAGGTAAAGAACCCGAGGGAGTATCTTTCTTCATTCCCTTGCATAATGACCCTATGAAAAGGAGGTTCTATTCTTCCATTGGTCCATGCCTAAGCTATGCAAAACATCCATTAGAGGAAATAATTTAAGAGGAGAAGAGGAGAGGAAAAGAGAAAATTAACCAAACAGATCATTAAATTGAATAAAAAATAGCAACAACAATATTATGCATTCAAAAAATACCCAGAAGTGCTCAGAAAAATTCATTACGAGTGTGACTCACGCTACATAATTAAATTTACATCATACATTCAAATCCTGTACATTTTTCTGGATACATGGCATTGCTGAACTAGCAATGAAGAGGATGTAAAAACATCTAGATTTCATTAAACTCTTTACAACTAAACTGTGCCAATGGTCTGGCTAGTCAACAAGATCCTGTTATTGGTTTGCCATATGCTTCTATCTAAACCTTGAAATTAGGTTTATAACTAAATAAATCTCAAAAAAGAAAAGTAAAAGAAAAGAAAATTTAGCAACTAAATTTATTAGCATAGTCAAATTTTCATGCAATTTTTGGACTTCTTGGATAGTAATGCAATCAAAACATACAATTATCTCAGCTAAATGCAGGGCATGGAAGGCCAGAACCTGTCAAATGAACAAACTAGTGGTAGGTTTTGGTTTTCAAATAGTTCTTAAATGTGTTCTTTTCGAGTATCTTCCCTTTATATCTTTAAAAGGATAACCTACTCACCATGCATACATCACCTGCCATGACAATGAAAGATGAAGGTGACGGATCAATAAGAATCCACTCGTCCTCTTTCATTTTGATCTCCAGACCCTTGACTTGCCGCTGATGGAGAATTGACATAAAGCTTTTATCTGTGTGAGGGATGAGCCCCAACTTTTTCTCATTCATTTGGGGTCCTTGATATTTTATAAACCGAAGAAGATAAGAGGTCGCTCCAAGGAGATTCTCATAATCATTCTCTATACCATAACTTTCAGACACCATTCTCATCACCATTTGATCAAGCTCTGCCAAAAGCCTTGAGAACAAGAGTGCGGTTTCACTGGGTACAAGAAAAAACAAGAAACTATAGAAGTAAAACAAATAATTAAGAAAATAAAATTTCTACCAAAAAGATTAAACAATGGATCAAACTATACCAGAAAAAATCATTTCCCGAGGGCCACATCTGGTTGGTGAATTTTTGAGCTCCTTCAAAAGTTGTTGCATTTTCGATTCCCAAACCTTCATAGAGAGGAACAAGGGGTTCTTGCCCTACATATCCATGGGAAGGTGTTTTGCAAATATTTGTCATTTTGGTTTCTGTGGGGAGATCAAACAATTCTTTCGATGCACGAAAAATTGCATTGTGAAGATCCAAGGGGACTTTATTGTCATATGTTGCTATGAAACAGCCATACTCTTCAAGAGCACGCACGGCTTCGCTGCGTATTGATGACCAATATTCTGTACCCGGTTTTAAGTTTTCCTCAGAGAAGTCTATAACAGGAAGCTTGGGACTTGTTAGGGAACCCATAGTTCAGTTTGAGTTCATTTCCTCACCTAGCAAGTTTGAAGGTTCTCAAGGAACAACTGTGGGGTACACTACTTATATTTTTCATGTTTGTTAGGGACTTTATTTATGCTTATGTTTCATAATAACAACATATCTAAGAAGATATGCAATTCAAATTATAGTATTCTGACCGATTCATGGTCCTTGGCACTACATTTTTTAGGGGCTTGGATGCTTATGAATTGGAATATTTTTGAGATTTTGACTGCATAGCGCTTGAGCTACCAAATCAAATTGTCCCTAGCTTCACTAGTGATACAGAGTAACAGAGGTAAGAGTATATTTTATTGTGAGTTTTAAGGACAAACAAAATGGTGATTTTGTCTGTGGTCCACTGAAATTGAAGGGTGCATACAATAATTTTCAAGAATCATGTTAGGGCTTGTGAGTGAGATATATAATTTAAATTAGCTTTGATGTGCATATAGCTGGCATTTAAAATTAATCTTAAGTATTCCAATAAGTATCTACCAGGTATAAATATGAATAATTAAAGACAACGACTATGTATATACAAATTCATTAGGAAGTCTTTATTACCATCATTTCACCTATGTTACATGAATTCTTTAAAATAAATCAAATATCCGTATTGGATACTTGACACTCGGACAAAGATATATGATATGTGTCGGATACTCTTCAATGAATACTTATTATATAATTGTATATAACACTATTATTATATGTACATACTATTGTATAATTACAATAAATGTCATTTTGATACTGTAAGTTACATATAATACCATTTTATCTCACATACTTTAAAAATATAAAAATACGACATTTTTTTTGCTGAGTTCACGTACCCTTAAATTTATGTTTTGATAGGTCTGACCATTGGTTCAATGGTAAAACATTGGCTTAATAACCTTGAGGTTATGGGTTCAAGTCTCGGGATGATGTCAAAAGTTAGGTGTGTACTCCCTCCCAAACACACATTAATGTGTACTAATTAGGCATTGAAAGAGAAAAAAAATAGGTCCGACCTCTACATACATTTTCACACCCGACACCCGTACCTGAATCCATCTAACACAACATTTTAGTTCCTAGGTAGCTAAATGTCAAGGAAATCAAACATATAAGAATAATATGTTTTAGATTCAACTTTTTAATTACGAGTTTAGAGTTGATAAGACCCAGATTGATCTATAAAATCTAAAATTATGCGTGGTCCATGGATTTGGATTCATATTGGCGACAAGATCAAAGAGACAATTGCATGATTAGGTTATGAATTAGGTGCTTTTTTGTTTGTAAGCCACAAAGTTATTCCAAGAATGTGATGCCACATGATTGTGAAAGGAAAAGAAAAGAGAGAGAAAAGATTTAGGTACCCTACATGATAGCCTTCTCTTAACATATTGTGAATTTATGGAAAGATTGATGTAACGAGATCTATTGACGAAAATTGACTAAGAACCAAGGAATAGAATATTAGAACAGCTTGATTCTTGTTCGGAATTTTTTTATTTTTTATTTTTGTTGAAGGGAGTGAAAATTAACCAATACTGGTTTATATTTACAATAGTCTTTAGTTGTATTCAATTGCATTACAAGTAGCTTTGGATCAATTCGATTGTCTCCACTGTATATAGAATTAGTACAGCAAAAGAGTCTAAACCAAATTTTTTTAATTTTTATGTGTTTTGTTAGTCATAAAGGATGTTTAGTATTTGTTTTATGTATGTATGGTCCCCTTCAATTATGGGCATACTTAATAGAAGTAAGGATTTATATCCCCGTGGTTTAAATATATTAAGCTTTCATTTTTATTTATGGTCCCCTCCAATTATAAGGTTCACTTATTAGAAGTAATGCTTATGTGTCCCCCTCTTTGCTTAATTATTTTGGATGATAAATGAAAAAATAATCTTTGCCAAATTACCTAGTGACTTGGATTGTTTTTTTCATTACAAACTTGAAAAAAGGTATTTTTGCCTAATGCTACAAGTGAAATCCCCAAATAGTGGTCCCCTTCTTTTTGCACAATGATAGAAACAAATACCAGTATTTGTAAGTGTGTTTATATATATATATGTAGATGTAGATATGGTCCCTTCATTTTTCATGTAATGACACAAAAAAATGTTAATTGTTTTATTAGTCTTAAAGATGTTTAGGCCTCGTTTGGCAAGAGGCTATTTTAGCCAATTAGCCAAAATGTTACTAAATTAGCCAAAAAGCCAACAACCCATACCAAAAAGTCAAAGATTCTCTTTTCTCTCTACTTTTTGCACATCTTTTCGTAATTAGCCAAAAAGTCATCCCAAACATACAAGTTTTTTTTACCTACCTTTTTAGCCAAATAGCCAAAAAGTTACTAAATTAGCCTGTTCCCAAACGAGGCCTTAGTGTTCGTTTTTATGTATATGTGGTCCCCCTTAGTTATGAGGATACTTAATAGATATGTGTTTTAAATATATTAAGCACTCATATTTATGTATGGTCCCTTTAAATTATAAGGTTCACTTATTAGAAGGATTCTATGTCACCCTCTATGCTTCAATTATTTTGAATAATTAATGAACAAATAATCTTTGCCAAATTACCCAATTACTCAGTCTCTGTATTTTATTGAAAAAAATGGAAAAAAAGAGCAAGTAAAATGTATATTGCCCTAATTTTACCTAATGCTACAAATGAAAGCCCCAAAAAATGGTCCCCTTTTGCATATGATAGAAACAAAAACCAATATTTGTAAGTGCATGTATATATATGTATATATAGATATGATCCCTTCATTTTTTATGTAATAAATCTCACTCTCTCCCTTGTGTCACTAATAATGGTCCAAAGATGTGATTATGATGTTCAAAGGGATCTTTAATTTTCTAATTAGGATTCAAATCCTTAAATTTTTAATAAGTTTGTATCATGGGGAGAAAACTCAATATATGTCAAGTGAAATCCAATATGTTAAACTTATCATCTTAATACAATATGTCAAGATGTGATCAAATAGAGCCATTGTTGGATCCTCGCCAACCTTGGGCTTGAGCTAGCATGTGTGTTCCTCTTAATGCCAATCTAGTTGGGATTATGATGGATCACTTTGTTGCTTTCTTGTTTCTTGCCTTTATTTTATTGATGTAATCTCATGCTTTGTACGGTTTTTCTTCTTCATCAATAAAATTCCTTCATTTGCTGATAAAAAAAAAAAAAATAGAGCCATTGATACCATTTCAAAAAAAAGAAGAAAAAGAGATCCAGTGGCTCTTTATTTCCTGACTAGGGTCTTGCTTTTTGCTCAAATTATGCAATAAATGATATTAAATATTCTGACTAGAGTCTTGTTTGTGAAGTAGACTACTTTTCATGAGAGATGGAATGAACATTGATTTTATGCTGCATGAAACTTAGGGTAGGGCTCATTAAGTAATGATAAAAACTGATAACTAAAAAACCAGTAATTACAACAAAATTTTAATCATACAAAGATTTGGTAAAATAATTGTGCATTTGCTCCGTTGTTCATATTGGTATGTTTTAATAAATTTTTCATTATTTAACTATAAGAAATTTTGAATCGCTATGTATTCTCTTGTGGGTGAAAAAAAAATGATGGCTTTTAATTTTGATTTCTTCACAAAGTAAACCATACTCTCCCTTGTAAACTTTATTTTTGTATGTTAGTTTATTAATTTATCTTTTTATAAGATGCAGTTGAGATTTGTATGAGGTTATTTGGAGGTTGGTTTCTTGCCAATAGCCTTGTTTTGATAGTGGTTTTTTTCCTTATTTTCTGTATGAGGATCAGGGGAGTCCTATAGTCACTGCCCTCACATTAGATACATATTAGATATGCAGGCTCAGAAATGGATTTGTTTTCGATTGGCAAAAACGAAATATATTGATGTAAAACAAATAAGTGTAGAGAGAGTACATCAAAGGTATCAATAGGAGGCCTGGAAATAAAATAGCATCAATAGCCTCCCAAATGCATTGATTTAGAGATTTTAAATTCAGTGGAACTAATACACACAATATCTATTAAATGGGGCTTTAATTGTTGGATCATGATAGGAAATAAAAAAAAAAAAATGAAATAAAACATAAAAAGCATATGGCAGACTTGGCCAGAAATACAAAAAAATGGTCACCCAAATCCATTTTGTGTTTTACTTTTTTTCACTGAATAGAAAAGAAATTTTACAATTTAATAATCCTATAATTGAGCAGCAAGGTTGCAATAAGACGATAAAGAAACACAATTTAGATGCTTTATAAAACTTAGCTGTGATACAAGCTTAACACAAGCCCTCACTTGGGGAGCTTCTATTTACACATACCCATTCCCCTCATTACACAACTTTTTCAATAAATAATTAGTTTGGAAGTAGATTTCCAAAAATAAGTAATTGATTCGGAAGTAGCTTTATGAAAATAAACAATTGGTTCGGAAGTAAACTTCCGAATTTTTATTATTTTTTCGACATTCAACTTCCGAATGTGTTTATTTGATGTCTATAATAGTAATTTCACTTGAAAAAAAATTTATAATAAAAATAATTTTTATGAAGTGTGTGCAAAGAAGGGAAGGTGGATGTGTAAATAGAAGCTCCCCCTCACTTGCGCAGACACTGATGACAAACTGGTTTTTGTAAATCAGACCGCAGTGACTGGCTTTTAAAATCTGACTTTCACATACATATCAGCATACGTATAATCTTGCACAATATTAAACAGTCATAACTTCATAAGGAACATTATTACATAGGCAAACCACTACAAAGTACAAAGAAAGTTAGGCACTCATAAAAGGGTATAACGTACTATATAATAACCCAATTAACAAATACAGTTGATGACGAAGATCAACATAACATAGCATAGCTTAGCTAGAGCTAGAGCTAGAGTTTCAAACACCACAGAAGTCTTTAAGAATGGTTTGTGTTCTCCGGCCATGATCGGTGTCATAGAACTTGAGCAAATCCATATGGACAAATGACTTGAACTGTTGTGGGTTTTCAACGTCGATGAGCTCTTTGGGTGTTTCTATGTTATGGCTCAGGAAGGAAAAGAGTGCAATGGTGTATCGGGTGTCCTTGCCGTTCTTGTCCATGGTCACCCGGTGGTTTGGAGATAGTACTTTATCATTACTCCATGCCTATTTCAAAAAAATAATCAACCATTTATCATTTCGTTAAATTGATACTAACTTGGAATAAATAAATGACAGAAAAAATGAATAAAAAATAATAAAGTGCTAGAAATATTTTTTCCCCCTTTTTAAAAAGGCTGATATTTCAATGGATTTATTAGATTCACATTTAATCTAGGAAAGCACCAAAGGATAAAGTGTATTTTTATTTTTTTTTAATACCTAGTCTATTACATGGTGAGAATCTCGAGATAAATTACAATAGAGAAACAGAGAAATTTAAAGGCAAAGGATTCTGTGCCCTCGTTTGGAAAAGTTGAACCTTCTCATAATTTTTTTTTTTGGCAATGGAAATTAAAATAGGAAATCTAGTAACAGAATTTTGTAAGACTGAGTTTCATCATCTCTTCTAAAAATAATCGGTGTTAGAAATGAATTTGCTTGTGGTTTTAATGTCATTTGATATCGCTCTTGCATGCCTGTTTTTAAAAGGGTAGTAGAAAGCGGCATTGTATATCCAGCAAAATTAAACACAGAACCGAACAAAAGAAAAAAGGCATCAATGGATGAGATTGTACAAGATTTGTTAACAGTACCCACTTCTGAGAAACCTTGTCAGTAAAAATCTATCAATGTATTTTCTGTGTCTAGTTATGCATTCCTATAATTGAAAATATTGATAGCATGGTTTAGTTTTCAAAAACTACATTAGTTTTAGCTTTTAGTAAGTGAGAGGGAGAGAGAGACCCTGCAAGCATCACCAGCCATGACAACGCAGGAATTAGGAGGGAACTCGACATCAATCCACTCTCCGTCCCTTGATTTAATCTCCAAACCTGAAACTTGATTTTGATAGAGTATTGTCATGAAGCTCTTGTCTGTATGAGATGGAAAAGCCATTGTTGTCTCTCCGATCTCTGGAGCTCTGTACTTCAGGAATCGAAGGAGATAGGTTGATGCATCAATGTGAGAATCACAGTACTTCTCTACTCTATAGCTTTCGAACAACATTCTCGCCACAAGTCGATCCAATTCAGCTACTGTGCTTGCAAATGACATCGAGCTTTTGCTGAAAAAGATCCAACAAGAAAAGGAATACTAAAAATTTGATGACTAAAGTAGGGTCTAAAAACAAATAAGGCAACGTAAAAACTGTGAATGCAAATAAAATTAAAAAGTGCTAGTATAGTTTGGAAGAGGGTTAGTTACATTAATGGTCTTGAAAGTGTTATATTTTAGTCCCTATTCTTTTAAAATTTGTACTTTAGTCCTTGAATTACTCAATCTGTTACACTCAAGTCCATGGCGTCAATGCAATTTGAAATCAATAACAGGAGGAAATGTATTTTTTAAAGCTTTACCAAAAAATATATAGCAAAATCAAAAGATTTTGGACCAAAAATGCAACAAAGAGCATATTTTGGGACCATAAATGAAACAAAGTGTATATTTTGGGACCGAAATGCAACAGAGTTCATGCTTTGATTTTGTTGAGACTTTATGTGAAATTCTGAAATGCCTCTTCTCCTGTTATTGATTTTGAACGGCCTTAGTGTCGGGAGCTAAAGTCTACTAGATTGCATGTTTTGGATACCAAAGTTAAAAAAGATTTAAAAATTGAGTACCAAAAAGGTACTACAAATTTCGTGCTTTTGGAACTACTAGGTTGTGTTCAACTCAAGAATTAGAGGAAGGATTTGTAGAGAGAGTATTAAAAAATGGGGGGAAAAGTGAATAAAATGAAAGTTAAATTTGTCACTTTTTCCTTCTTGTTTCTTTTCTCTCCATAAATTTCCTTTCAAATCACTAATTCAAACACGACTTTAATGTAATTAACTCTACAAGTATGTCAAAACTGATTCACTGAAACTATACCAGAAAGAATCATTCCCCTTAGGCCACATGAGTTTTGTGAAACTCTGAGCTCCTTCTTCTGTTGTTGCATAGTCAATCCCCAAGCCTTCATGGAGAGGAACAATAGGCATTTGCCCAACATAACCATGGTAAGGCTTGTCGTTGACGTTCTGGATCTTGGTCTCAGTGGGGAGATCAAACAACTCATCTGCTGCATTAAAAATTGCTTTGTTAAGATCTGAAGAAATTTTGTCATACAAAGCCACAAAACAACCATGTTGTTCTAGGCCTTGTTTGATGTCTTTGCATGCTGTGGTCCAAGCACTTGAACCAGGCTTCAAGTTGTCCTTGGTGAAGTCTACAACAAGCAGTTTGGGATGTTTTAGGGAACCCATGTTGATTTGTGATTTCTTTCTCAACCAAGTAAGTTTTGTAGGGATTTGTAATAGATTTTGTGAAGTTTGAGATATATACTATTACTTTGTACGCTTTTTATAGGATCCTAAACTTGGCTAGTGTAGTTTGTCATTTATGTATATTTTCAATTGAGAAGCCAGGGAGTCGATTATTGTTGAAGATAAAAATTGATTAATTATTTCTCATTTGGGGATTTTCAAGTTATTTATTTATTTCTCATTATGCTTCTGTTTTGCCCAGTTTAATGTAATCCACTTACTTGATATTTGTAAATAATCTCCTACCAGTTTGATCAAAATAAAAAAAGGACAAAAATTTATATTAACAATGCATTTGTTAAATTGTTGATCACTATCTCATTTAATTTAAGAAACTTAGGACATTAGAAAGATAAATTTATTGATAAATTACCAATAGGTTCTAATAGTTGGACTTAATTCTCATAAAGTTCTATTGAAAATAAATTCTAGTACAATCGTTACTAAAAACAATTTTGTGACAATTTTTACAAATGTTGTTAAAAATTGACAATTAGTAATTTTTTTGTCACAATTTTTATAAATTGTCACTAAAACTTACTAGTAGTGATGTTTTTTTGTGACAAAATTTTCAAATTGTCGTTGAAAGTTAAAAATTAGTTATGTTTTTTTGTGATGATTTTTTTTTTAAATTATTGCTAAAATTTATGATTAGTGGCATTTTTTGTGACAAATTTAAAACTGTCGTTGAGAATTAATAATTACTGACATTTTTTAATAGTGTATGATAAAAAATATTATAAATTATTATAAGACCTATTAGACAATAAGTTCACTTAACCCTAAATTTATTATTAATATACTCAACACGCTTGCATGTGAATTGTTGGCTATCAACCTATCCAGCAACTTAAGTTGGTAAAGGATAGTTTATTATCCTCAGCATGTCCCCATCATGTGTGGTGAGAATCTCTTCTACAAATGGCTTAAACACGTACATGTACATCACCGATCTGAATCGTTGAGATACATTTGAACCTCGGAATCACCAAGCTGAATCACCGATTTGAATCGCTGAGATGACCTTCGATTTCGATTTCGAGATATGAATCACTGAGACCGATCTGAATGATTGAGATCTGAATCATGATCTGAATTGAACTTCGATTTCGATTTCGGGATATAAATCACTGGGACCGATCTGAATCGCTGAGATCTGAATCATGATCTGAATCGAAATCGAAGTGATATGAACTCAGATCTAAATCGAAATCGAAGTGATATGAACTCAGATTTGAATCGCAATATGAAATCGAAGTGATATGAACTCAGAATTTTAAAATTTCATGATATGAACTTCGATTTCGAGATCTGAATCGCTGAGATGAACTTCGAAATCGCTCTGATGAATCACTTCGATTTCGAGAGAGAACTTCGATTTCTAAGGATTCCATGGATAAGCAAATGAATCTCTGTGATAATCAGGGTTTAGAGAGAGAGAGAGAGAGAGAGAGAGAGAGAGAGAGAGAGATTATTTGCGAGTGCATCGGTTCAATTTGGGAGATGAGATTCTCAGATTGAAAAAGGAAGCGCATGAGATAACACGCATTTGAAGGCGTTAATAAACGCCTCATATTCATAAAACGGCGCCGTTTCAATTAAAGAAAAACAAGACGTTTAAAAAACGCCGTTAAATATTAGAAACAGTGACGTTTTAAAAAACATCGTTAAAAAAACGCCGCCTAAACCCATATTTCCTGTAGTGTATATTATAATTGTCGGATATAGACGGTGAAGTTCAAACACAAATTTGAGTAGTCTGTAAACTTCTAATACAAAATTATAATTGTCGAATAGAGACAGTGGAGTTCAAAAACAAAATTTGAGTAGGCTATGAAATTTGAATACCAAATTTATTGACTAAAAATTGGTGTCAATTGATAAGAGATTAATTACAAATATGAAAAGAATTACATCAAAAATACTTAGAAATTCAGTAATTACTAAGCCCACCAACCATCACAATAAAAAGTTCAAATTTGGAAGAAATAAACATCTACAAACAACTCTATAATGAAGAGAAATCATCAATCTTTACCATCACTAAGGATTGATCCCTTGACCTTCAAGATATGAGTATATGGAAGTAGCCTACTGATGGTATCATTAGGGACTAGACAGGTAAATGGATTTTTGGTTTCTGCCGCAACATTGGCCACTCGTCCATTATCGAAGCTGAACTTTGGGCCATGCGAGATGGTCTAAAACTTGCTCTTGATCTTAATCTCACAGGAATAGAAGTGGAAATAGATGAAACCATCATGCAAAATCTTATTCTTGGTAACTCCAACCATTGTCATCAACTTAGTAATCTCATTCATGACTGCAGGTACCTCCTGGACCAGCTCGGAACCTCGACTATTAGCCATACCTACCGCGAAGGAAACAAATGCGCAGACTTGCTTGCCAACGAAGGATTCAATCATGAGGGCCTACTTGTTTTTTCTTCTATTCCTAATTGTATCCCCCTTCAAGTTTTTGAAGACGCTAGGGGTACTTTTACCCTAGAAATGTATTTGCTTATTTATTATCAATCTAATTTCCATCTTTATTACCAAAAAAAAAAAAAAAGAATTTGTTCAGTTAATTATTTTGTTTAAAAAATTAAATTTATTATTAATATCATCGACGACAATTGAGAAGATGTTGTTGATATACAAAAGTGAAAATGAATAGATGGGACCAAAATCCTTGGCACTACATAAATTCTAGTTTGGAGGGTTATGAGATGGAATGTTCAAATTGTCTCAATCTTCAAAAATGGGACCAAATTAATTATTTAAGTTTTTTTAGATGATTAACTATAATTAAAACATGGATATAGTTACTGGTGTGACATCTTTGTTTGTTCAGATTTGATAATAAACATTACTTGGATATTAGATACCAATCAAATCAGAAATCTCAACATGTGGATGTATTACACACATTATGTTGGCAAATCTTAACAATTGGTTTATTAATAAGATTTCATCATTTGCTATATATATTAATGTCAAGCTCAAAATGAGGAAGGAAATTAATGTTAGGGACCATTAAAAAGGTTTTAAAATGCCTTGTTTTTCATTTACAATGTCATGAATTCAACCTAATCTCTAATTATTAGAGGGGACCATGGTCCTAGTTTCCACCCCTTTCTTTTATTAATTTTTATTTTTACTTGCAAAAAAGAAATAAGTTGATGTAAATTGACTCATCGCATAATAAAAAGATAACTAATTGACATCAGAGAACAAAATAGGATCCTAACAAAAATCTAGTTTCATCACTATAATAATAAATAGAGGTTTTAGAATCTAGTTTTTTTCATCTCAAAAGTAAAAAATTTGTTACAAATAATATTAGGAGATCAATTCTTATTATCATGAAAGTCGTCACTAAAAGATTATCTCGAAAAATTTTTAAAAAAAAAACTTCTAACAACAAAATTTTAAAAATATTGCAAATAAATACACTTTTAGAAAGAAAAAAAAAAAGCCTCTTTTTAGACAAAAATTTTAGTTTAAAAGGATAGTAATTCATCTCTAAATATTCAATTTCGGTACTAAAAATATAATAATAACACTTTTAACAATTAAGATATTTTGTTCTTAAAAAATATTTCGTCCTTGTTTGGGATAAACTAAATAAGTGCACTTTTTGACTTTTTATGAAATATAGATTGGGTATGGGTTGGGTTTGAAGTGATGTGGTAGAGAGATGATGTGACTTAAATAAGATGATGTGACTTAAATATGATAGTGACTTTTTGAATTTTTAACTTTTTTAGTTTATGCCAAACCAATGTATAACAGTGTGTCTACACATATTCATAAAAAGTTTGAATTCTATCAAATTGGGTCAATTTGAGAGAGCGTTTGGACTTAGACTATTTTGGGACCGATTTCAGTGATTTGAACTATTTACTTTTTAGTACTGTTGAGTAGAATATTTATTCAAAAAATTAAGATGATCGGACATCAGTAATTATATATTTGAATTATATTTGTATTACAAAAAATGGATAGTTACTCTTGAAATTATAATTGTCGGTCTTTTTTTTTAAACAAATATGATTAAAACATATAGCTATATACTGATATTTGATTATATTAATTTTTATATGAATATTTTACTCAATAAATGATAAAGAGTAAACAATTTGAATATTGATGTCATCTTCAAAATAGACCCACCAAATCCAAACACTTTCTAAGTTGGATGGACAACTTGAGAATCTAATCCCTTCATAAAATGACGCATACAAATATTAAAGTTTAGTTCGTTATCAAATGTGGGATTAAACTAAACTTTCACGTGCCTTTTGTTGGACCACTTTAATATCTTTTATTTATTTATTTATATATTTTTGTTCATGAATATTCTTTTGTCTTGTTCATGAATCTCATTTTGTCCATGAATGGAGATTCATTGTTTTGGCGTCCATTTGTCTTGTTCATGAATAAAGATTAATTGGAATTCATGAACTTGGTGGTGAGTTAATTTTTTAGAGACTCTCCATTTTCTCTAAGTTCATGGTCATTATTATTTTTTGGTGTATTTTGTAAAGTCCTAGTGGCCTATAAATAGTTCCTCTCATCTATTCTTTTCTACACCAACTATTTTCTATACTTGAGATATTACTAGCAAAGAAAGGTGTTTTTCTTGGTTGAGCTTTGGGTTTACCATCTTGTGCAGAGTTGGCCTAAACCATACGACAAGTGGTCGAACTGTTGTATCTTGGAGGGGACAAGTCATAGTTTTGTAATTACTGCATCGGTATTTGGGTTCTTCCTACCGCAGTGGGCTTGATCTCTTTAAAGAAAATAAGATATCCGTGCTTCAGCCTGATCTATTTACATCTCATTTTCTTTGCAATTTTTTATCAATAAAATATAATTTTTCTGGTATTTTTATCAACAATTTTAAGGAGATCAACCATGGAACAAGTACTAGAAAAAACCAATGATGGAATTGGAGATCTCAACAAGCCTTTCAAGTTCCAGGGAGTTCATTTTAAGAGGTGGAAAAGAAAAATTCTTTTTTACCTCAACCTTTTGAAAG